CTGAGCCAGTACATTCTTTTTTTCTTTCTTTATTCCCCTCTGCCTATTCCTCCTCCTCCTCTTCCTTCTTTTTGTTTAATTTTGAGTTGAATTCCTGTTTGTTGTAAACAAAGGACTCCTGACAATTATACTTCCCTGTCAGAGCCTAATCAAGAATATATTTTATTGAGTTTTACAGAGAGGAAGGGAGAGGGATAGAGAGTTAGAAATATCGATGAGAGAGAAACATCGATAAGCTGCCTCCTGCACACCCCGCACTGGGGATGTGCCCGCAACCAAGGTACATGCCCTTGACCGGAATCGAACCTCCAAGGTACATGCCCTTGACCAGAATCGAACCTGGGACCCTTCAGTCCGCAGGCTGATACTCTATCCACTGAGCCAAAGCGGTTAGGGCCCGGTCACAGTTTTCTCAACTGAAAAATGAAGATACTCACAGTGCTGCTCACCTTCTCTATAAGATTGTTGCAAGATTTACAGGAGTCACATGAGGGCCATTATTATTTTTAACGAGTTAGGAAAAACTGAATTCAGAAAATCTCATTCCTTTACCGCCCCCCCCCAAAAAAAGAAAGGGGGAGGGAAGAACTGTTACATACGTAAAAATAAAGAGAATAAATTCTTATAACACCAGTTATGAGAAAAGAGAAAGCATTATATCAGCAACTTCTGCCAGGGTGTTGCTATTTCTTAATTTCTGGTCTGGCAGGGGCAGCTAGCCTCAGGCCCTGACCCCATCTCCTTGGCAAGGAAGTCGCTGACCCTACCTTTCTCACATGTGCTCGCTCCCTCCCTCAGGGATTCCTCTTCAATGCCAGGTGATGCTGGGCCATGGAAAACATCTTGCTGGCAGTTTTAAAAGAGCAGGAATTGCAGGGGAGGTAGAGAAAGGGGAGGTGACGTGTTTGGCAGGACTGAAATGGGTGATTTTGCAATGTTGTTTGGGGAAAGGCAAAATAAACTAGGAGAAAGTTAGCCAGGCGGTATAACCTTGCTACTGCATTGGTTATAGGAGGAAAGGACCTCAGTTAAGACTGTTTTTCCAGGGGACGCGGGGGTAGAATTCTGATAAAGCCAGGCCAGCCAGCTCTGAGGTTAAGAAAAACATTCGCACAGGGAGGAGCAAAATTCACACACAAACCCACTCTGCTGGATTAAACAGAACAGGCCATTATGTAACACACAGGTCTCCCAGGGGAGGGTCAGAGAGTTGGTCTTGGAGACTTTCCAGTCCCGAATAATGTCGTCACCCCAGGGCCCAGACATTGTGTTCAACTCGTGCCATTGGTGTGGGCCACTGGATGCCAGAAACCCACAACTGTGCCCTAAACCCTTACCCCCAAATGGATTCTATGCCCCCAGCTTCTTAATGCCCTCTGCTGGAGGCCACGTCTGCCTCGGGTGTCTGATTGCCTAGGATATAGACATTGTTGAAAAGGGGCTGGAGAAGCCAGTGTCAAGAATTTGACCTTGGGGAGGCAAGACCCATCATGCTGGAAGCTTTCCAGTCACAGAACAGGGTCCAGAAGGACAGCCATCAAGTGTGCATACCTCTCCCAGCAGCATTTCTATATTGTGTGCATGCGTGTGAATAGGCGTATAATCCATGTCTCAAGGTCCCATTTCCAGAGTGCTTTCATCCTTAGAAATCCGAAGATCCATCATGCAAGCCCCACCAGCAGCAGGGGCCCAGTCTCTTCATTTGGGTGTCACTCGGCCACGCTGAGGTCAGGGTGCAGCTGCGAGTACCATCTGGCCACGCCGGCTCCGTGTGGCTCTGCTCCTTCAGGTTGTCATTGCCCCCTAGACATGGACGAGGTCTCTTTCTTCCCCTCCCTCTGAAGTGAGGAGCTGACACACTCCTCAGAGACATGCCAGGCCTCCAGGAAGACACTGTAGTTGGCTCTGACTTGTCACATTCCCTCCCCTTAAGACTCAACTCTGGTTTTTACCTCTGCACAAACAAAGGCCTGTTGAAGTGGCACTAAAGAGGAAATCAGCCAGCAAGCTTAGGATGCAGGGACAGAAGGAATTTTTTAAAGCTTTGGAGTTTAGTCTTTTCCCAGATGAAACCTCATTTTGGAGGAGAGAGTCGAGAAACTGCTCTAACGGGGTTTTTCTTTAGAAAAGCCCAGAAAGCAGATGAAAGGCAATGCCCCAAAGCAGTCTCTGCCCCATACTCCTAGGGACAGCGCCTGTCGGGCGCCCACAAGCCTGGACAAGGGGAAGTGAACCTATGGGTGGAGAATGGCTCTCTTCTCTCTCGGCTTTCCCACGTCCACCCGTCCCCTTCTGGTGCTTTCCATGCACCGCCTGTGTTTGTATTTGCCCCATCCCGGTTCATTTCTGTGTGTCACTCGGTGCTTGTCTGTTGAATGATTCCACTTGGGACCCCCAGGTGAGCCAGCTACTCTCCCCACTCATCTCCCATGACATGTTGTCTGAGACCTCTGTTTATCTATGAATGTTTTGTGAGTTTCACTTTAGGACAGGAACAATATCTCATTTGCTATGGAGTCCTCAACAATGGGCAGAGTGCTTGCCAGTATTTTTTAATGAAAAGAAGGAAAAATGAATGGATGGATGGATGAAAGGATGGATGGATACCTGAGCTTTGCGGGACAATGGTCACTGTAGCCAAATGCCACGTGGGGGCAGTGTAGAGCAGCTTGTCGAGGCCTCCCCAGACTCTTCTACCAAACCCTGGCTGGCAAGATTTCCTAGACCTTATTTTGTGAGAAAAGGACTGGAGGCCCAAGAGGTCGATGGCTGTGCCCAGGGGCACACACACAGCTCCTGAGCCGAGCTCTTCCATTACAGTATGCCCATCAACCCGGCTCCCTAGGTTCTACGGGCCCTGGTGCTGCCCAGCCTCTTTCATTATCACCTGGATCCCTTCTTGGGAGGCTGCCATTGGCTGCTGGCTGGTGAACATGCGCAGCACAAAGGACATGGACCACTGAGCGCATCCTTCAGAGCCTAATGTGTCTTCCCAGCCTCTCAACATGGTCCCAACTTTGGTGACTTGGCCCTCTTTGGACTCCCCCTTTCTCTCACATGTCTCTTCTCCCTTTTGGAGACCTACATCACGTTGGCTTATATTTCCCAGAAAAGGAAGGACCCCATTCTCAGAACATGTCCGACTCCAGCTCTGCTTCTCTCAAAATTGACCTCTCTTGTGTACCATTTCCTCTCTCCCTGCATTTAATTTCCTCTATCTTCTTGTGTGTGGGCAAGCAAGGGGTGTTGGGGAGAACACTAACATATTGATGGCTCTCTCTTCCCCTCCTGGCTGTCCACACATTTTCGAACAGATTCCCCAAGGACCATGCCTTAGGTAGCAGAGAGAGGTATCTGGAGAACAGAAAATACCTCAAAATTTCCTTTTCTTCATTTATCTATTTAGTTACTCAATTATTTTAAAAATAGTTTAAGCATCTACTATGTGTCAGGGTTGAAACAATAACACAATCTTGCATTTACGCAGTCCTGGCCATAGGAGAGAGGCATTGTTAATTCCATTTTATATACCGGGAAACAGAGGTCCGGAGAAATGATGTCACTCATCCAAGGGAGCGCAGCAGTGAGCTACAGAACTGCAATCAAACCTTGGAGGCTGCCACCTAAATGATAAGCCGTTTCCAGCGAATGTTCACTATTGTGGTTTGTGGCAGCTCATACCCAGGTCTCCGCACCTCGGCAGGCAGCCACAGAGTGGTTAAGCCCACAGCCATTCTGCTGGATTAAACAGAACAGGGGCGAAGGGATGAGCAGGAGCAGCAGAGAACCCCAGGCCTGGGTACTGACCACTTACATGCATTGTAGCTTTGTGGCTCCTGGAGTGGAATTCCAGAATTTCCCATCAAGTTCGATTCTGCAACTGCACATCTATTCTCTGTGTGGGACCCATCATCAGCTCAAACAAAGCTGCAGCTCAGAGAAGAGCCCCTCCAAGCTCACTGGGATGGGGGTCTGCTGGATTAAGGGCTTATAAACCTTGTGGGCTGACCCTAGAGCAGTGATGGCGAACCTTTTGAGCTCAGCGTGTCAGCATTTTGAAAAACCCTAACTTAACTCTGGTGCCGTGTCCCATATAGAAATTTTTTGATATTTGCAACCATAGTAAAACAAAGACTTATATTTTTGATATTTATTTTATATATTTAAATGCCATTTAACAAAGAAAAATCAACCAAAAAAATGAGTCTGCGTGTCACCTCTGACACGCGTGTCATAGGTTCGCCATCACTGCTGTAGAGGATACTTCCTGTTCTGGAGAGCTGTCCTCAGGATGAGATAAGAGCATGACCACCACAGTGTTCCTGAATGCAGAGGTCTTTTCTTATATACATCCAAGTGTCGTTGCCAGAAGCCGGGCTGGCCTGCCTTGATTGACTTCTGGAGGCCTACCTAGGCCTTCAGGACTACATAGGTCAGGATAATTCTTTCTATTATAAATCTCAGTAAGTCACTTAGGATTGTCAACTTTTTTTTTACATGGGATTTTTTTTTTTTAAATGACGGCCACAGACATTCTGTCCTAAAAGAAAAAGAAATTTAACAAAAAATGCCGGACATATCTTGCAATTAAAAGTGGGTGTATTTAGCCTCGTGATAAATTACGTGGCCTATACTTTCCCCAATGTCACTTTAGACCAGTGGAGACTAAAGCAAGGGCTGGCCTCGGGGAACCATTGCTGGAGACTGTGTGGGGTCTAAAGGTGTGTGGTCTGCAGGTATGTGGTTCATAGGTGTGTGGTTTATAGGTGCCCTGGGCAGTGGGAGATGGGCTAAACTAGATCATGGGGCAGTCATGTGCACTGGGGGAACTGAAGAAAAAAACAGAAAAGGCATGTCTCAGGAAAAAATTTTAGTACCCATTACAAAACAGTGTGTGAACCATGACCCCCTAATTTGTAAAATACCCATATGCCTAAGATAGCCTCAGACACACAGAAAAAAATAAAATAAAAATAACACTGGGAAGCTATACAACAAAGTCTGATGGAAGAATAACGATTATGTTTATTTTCTCTGAGTTATTTCTTGCATTTTCCAAATCTTCCTGTTTTGTAATCAGAAACATAGAACCAATAAAGTAGAAAAAAAGTGATGCAAGAGGAATCATGCAACACACTGTGTAAGACCTTCGCCCGTGGTCTCCCCGGGACAGACAGGATTTTGATGAAGCCACATCTTGGACTGAAGAAGGCTCCTGGGCTTGTGCTGGCGTCACCAGCCTCCTGTCTTTGCGCATCTGGGGCTGGGGCTGGTGTCTGGCGTGTGGTGCAAGCTCTATTGCCATGTGTTGAGTGGACTGCTTCCTGTATTAGGCTGGTCAGTGTGCCTCCTGGACAAGAGGAGGCCACAGAGAAAAGCTGCCCCTGAAGTAGAAATGGACCATTCCTATACTGATTTCCATTCTGAGTTTAAAAATTTGTATTCAAAGGTTTTGATTGCATCTGTCTTTGGAAAAATGGAACAAAGTGATCGCTAAGATCCCTTTTATGAGTTTAAGCTCCTGTCTTGGAGGCAATCTGGCTGCCATTTAAATAAGGCCATCTTTAAAACAACAGGGTTTGGGGAGAATGGGTCTTCCATTAAGTAGACATCTTGGCGACAGGCAAGAGGAGTTAATTCTCAGCAAGTAAAGCAGGAAAGAAATGCATTGGAGATGTTCCTGTAAATTCCCAGTTTGGCCAGGAAGACTAGAGCCACTAAGAAAATGGGTGGTGTGTATTTTTACCAAGCTGTAGGGACCACTGCTTGAGCCCTGCCTCCTGTCTAGGCCTCAGTTTTCTTAAGATTCTGAGTCAACAGGTTCACCATGGGGATTAAGCACTTGGGCCAGGAGCAGGTGGCCTGGTTTCAGATCTCAATTCCTAGAACCTCAGGTAAAGTACATGGCATCTCTATGCTCTGTCTCCACATCTGTAAAATAAGGATAATACAGGTACCAACTTGCATTTGCTACCTTTTGCTGTGAAACAAATTACCCCCAAATGTAGTGTTTTAAAACAGCAATAAATATTGTCTCTCAGTGCCTGTTGGACAGGAGTAGCCTACCTGGGTGGTTCTCAAGAGGTTCAGTCTGATGGGGACTAGGTCTGCAGTCATCTGAAGGCTCAGTTGGGGCTGGAAGATTGTTTCCAAGGTGGCTCACCCATGTGGCCGGCAAGTTGGCGTTAGCAGCTGGCAGCAGCCTCAGCTTCTTCCTCGGTGGGCTGTTTGGGTGTCCTCACAACAGGACGGTTACCTCCCCTTAGAACAAGTGATACCTGAGAGAGAGCCAGGCAGAAGCTGTGTCCTGTGTGTGACCTGGCTTGTCACATCGCATCGTTTCTGCTACATTCACTCCTTAGGGGAAAGTAAGTCCAGCCCTCGAGCAAGGGGACAAGGCTTGGGCTCCACCTTTTGAAAGGAGGAGTGTCCAGCTCCATTTCCTACCCACCACACTACCTCACAGGGCTCTTATGAGGGTTAAATGAGTTAACACAAGTGCTTAAACCAGAGCCTGAAATATGGTAATTAGCACGTGTTTGATTGCTATTATTATTACCATTATTAGTGCTACTATTACTATTACTGTTATTATTCTTCCCCACCTTGCTAGTCCTCCTGGTCCTCATTGTTTCTTCTCCCCGAAGTTACCTCAGAGGTGGGGGTTGATCCCTCCTTAAATTATTGGTTCCTAAAACCCCTTAAAGGAAGCAGGGGCTGTTGTTGTTGTTGTTAATCCTCACCCGAGGGTATTTTTCCATTGGTTTTTAGAGAGAGTGGAAGGGAGAGGAAGAGACAGAGAGAGACACTGATATGAGAGAGAAACATCAATTGGTTGCCTCCCTCACGTGCCCCAATCAGGGGGAGGGGGGGGAGTTGAGCCTGCAACTGAGGTATGTGCCCTTGACCGGAATCGAACTCAGGACCCTTCAATCTGCAGGCCGACGCTCTATCCGCCAAGGGAAGCTGGCTAGGGTGAAGCAGAGGCTTTCTTAGGACTGGCCCCACCTTATCTATCTGCCTCAGGAAACCAAGGTAAGTCACACTAGGACTCCAACCGAGGTGGACAGGCCTGGCCACCAGCGCGAAGGCGTCAGCCCCTCTTTGCACATCGTAGTCCTCACAGTTGCTACAAGGCTGACCCTTGCTCTCCTCTCTTCATCTCAGACAACATACCCGCCACAGTGAGCTGAGGAAATTCCCCAGGCAAGTGATTGGCTTGGGGACACACTCTTGCCCAGTCGGCACCCCAGTGTGATGGGGCATGGGGTTGGGCTTTGAGGGCAGAAACCACCAGCAAGTGAGCCGAAGAGCCAGTGAGATGGGCCCTGGCTGCCACAAGCCCACAACCCACGAGGCAGAGCCACAGACGCCCACCTGCGGGGTCACCCGGGGCTGAAACCCAGCCAAACCCCTGCTGCCAAGCCCAAGACTATGCTGCATCCACCCCGAGAAAGGACTGCCTTTTCCTAACTGTCTGCTCAGGGCGGCACTTTGTCTAATGGAAATAAAGCATTGCGTATGCTAGCTGTGGCCGGCTGCCCCGTCTCATTTTGATTCCCTGCCCTGAGCCCCTCCTAAGTGAATACTTCACAAGCAGGTGGCTGATCACTCGTTCCACTTGGGTTTAGCTTTCTCATTGCCCAGTTTCGACTTGGATTTCTTTCTTTTGGCTGGTAGACCAGCTGTGGACAGTCGAGATGACCGGCCTGAGGCACATGGAAGCGCTTGCCCTTCCCCACTGTCGCAAGTGCTGGAACTCCGCCCAGTGGCTTGTCTGCCTGGGAACTCTGGCCCTCCTTGAAGAAGGAGCACAGCGAGCTTCTCCAGCACAATTTGGCCCTCCTTTACCCCCTGGCCTGGTTGAGGGGGTTACTTGGCTGTGAATGCTCAGGGCAACTGGGGGTGGGTACAGTGGGGACCATCCTTGACAAGATGGAGCAGAGGTGCAAGGAGATATTCTGATCTCTGCAAGGACTAGATAGATAGATAGATACATAGATGATAAACACATGATAGAGAATAGATATATATATATATTAGATGATAGATAGATAGATAGATAGATAGATAGATGATAGATAGATGATAGGTGGTAGAGGATAGATAGATAGATGGTAGAGGATAGACAGATGATAGATGATAGAGAATAAATATATAGATTAGATGATAGATAGATAGATCGATAGATAGATAGATCGATAGATAGATAGATCGATAGATAGATAGATCGATAGATAGATAGATCGATAGATAGATAGATCGATAGATAGATAGATCGATAGATAGATAGATCGATAGATAGATAGATCGATAGATAGATAGATCGATAGATAGATAGATCGATAGATAGATAGATCGATAGATAGATAGATCGATAGATAGATAGATCGATAGATAGATAGATCGATAGATAGATAGATCGATAGATAGATAGATCGATAGATAGATAGATCGATAGATAGATAGATCGATAGATAGATAGATCGATAGATAGATAGATCGATAGATAGATAGATCGATAGATAGATAGATCGATAGATAGATAGATCGATAGATAGATAGATAGATAGATAATAGAAGATAGACTACTCACAGAGAGGTTTGAAGAGAAGCAATGGGCCAGTAAGCATTTGCATACAAACTTTATAAAAATTTTCTAGAGGAAAAGTAAAAACACACACCACAAAACAATAAAAAATAGACACAGAGAAGTCCCCACCTCCTGTTTGGTTAAAAATATAAAATAAACAGGCACAGAAGGCATCCCTCCATGGGACCTTCCCTTTAGCTCAGAGCTACACTGTCTATATTTACACTTGGTGGGTCCTTGTTTCCATTCCTGCCATTTTATCTAAGCGTGGAGAGGCAAAGGAGCATGACAATAATAGAAATTAATGACCATGAGCAATAAATACCACACTCACCAGGGCTCTGCCTGTGGGTTCCTGCCATCTTGTCTCCAAAGAACACATGAGGTCGGTCCACCCTAATGACTCCAGGCCCAGCCCCATGGACCAAGGGGATTTGATAACTGGGGCCACAGCATGCTCTGAGCCCACCGTGGGCTGGTTAAAAGGGCAGAGAGTTTTCAGTGTAACCTCTACCAGGAAAATGATAACATTTCTGTCTTTTTGCCACTTGGTGAGACTTCACGACAGAGAATGACAGTAAGAGATAAAGTTTGGTGAGGTCCCAAGAGTACAAGATTTCTTGCCCTCAGCCCTATCGGCATTCGGGGCAATTCTTTACTGGGGGGCTGTCCTGTGCATTAGGAGGTTCAGTGGCAGCCCTGGCTTCTCCCTTACCCACTGGATGCCAGCAGCAGCTCCCCAGTTGTGACAATCAAAAATGTGTCCAAATATTACCAAATATCTCTGCAGTGTGTGAGTGTGTGAGTGAGTATGTGTGTGTGTGTGTGTGTGTGTGTGTGTGTGTGTGTGCAAAATCTCCCCCAAGAAGTTCTGCTTTCGTGGTTAAGAGCAAGGGACACTGGGGTGTGACTGCCTAGAGATGAATCCCAATGTCTGCAACTTGCACGAGCACCGAATGAGTTAATAAACAGATAGTCAGACCATATAATCTGTCCTCCAAACCGGGGCAATTTGAGAGTGAAAGGGAGTTCTAACAATTTCATAACCTGAGACTGTCTTTGCAAATGGGTATGTGTGGTTGGTCCATAAGACGATATAGTGTTGAGTATCGAGCCTGACCTGGTGTCTGCTCGATGACCATTGAGCTATGTGCTCTACATGCAGGAACTTCATTTAACTCACCCCGCAAAAAGGCCTTATGAGGCTGGTATTATTATTATAGCCTTTCTATATATGGAAAGACTGAAGAACTAGAAGCTAAAGTTCAAGGTCACATGGTGGTTGTGCAGCCAAGATTCGTATCCTGGCAGGTGAGTTTCCAAACCCGTGTTCTTAACCACTGTGCCCACATGTGCTCAGTGCTCAGGGAAACAGCGCTCCCCAATATCCGTGGGACCCCACATGAAGTGCTAGCTCTAGGTCACTCACAGTTTCAACATTAAATCCACTTATAAAGCTGGGTGCTCAGGGTTCATTGTGATTAAAAGCAGATACATGAAAATCACCGTGGAGCAGGAAATGTGGGTGGCAGTGCCCAATCTCATTCCCAGTTTTGTAGAGCTCAACAGGTGCACCATCCCATTAGGAAGTTTCTAAGAATGAAACAAAAATGTTATTTTTCCATTCATATTTTTTGTTTACCCGGATGCCTACTAAGTTGTTAGGACATAAAGTCTTGTTAAGTCATTTGGAACCAGCTGCCTAACAAATGGAGCTACTCGTTATTTTTTGGCCTAGGGGTGCCATGAAGGCGATGGAAAGGAGAAAGCTTGGGAACCTCTGCACTCACCCTTTTACCATTGGGAGAGCCCTGGAGGGTAGTCATGGAGAAGTCCTAGCCCAGAGCCCTCACCCTGGTTATCCACTCTGGGGAAACCTTTCTGTCCCCATGTCACTTCAGCCTGGGATAATGGAATTGTCTCTTTCTCTCTTTCTTCTCCCACACACAGCTTTCCTTTCCCTCACACAAAACTATTGTCCTCTGACCCCAGTCAGGCCACACCCCTTTCCATCTGAGTTCCCTTAATTTCAATCTCTTGCCACTTTTCAACTGTGTCAGGAAGCAAACTGGTTAGTTTACAACTTGAAGTTAGTCAAGCTTCAAGTGGAACATCTCCCATTGACATGCAAACTGCCCCTCAGGTCAGAGGTCACATTGTCAACTCAGACCCATATGTCACAGTAATACGCAGACCCACAAACGCACCCCTCCCCTCAGAAAGCACTGAGACTGCCACACTGGACCCTTCGTAAATACACAGAGACACTCACAGACAGAAGGGCAAGTGGGAGAGGCCTGGCAGTGTGGCTAAGGGAGGGGGGTGATGGCATGGGTGGTGAGGAAGTTGGCACTGTTAGGGCCACAAGTGCACTTTACACTCTCTAACTGCCTGACTTACTAGAACAGAAAACTAGATGGCATGGGCGTGGTAGGAATGTGTGGGGCAGAGGAGGGGACATGGCTTTTTATTACTGACCAGGGGCCTCCTTGGACAAGTCACTGCTTTCTGTGCCATAGTTTCCTCATCTCTAAGGGGGTTTAATTTCTCCTTGCTTGTCAAACTGGGGTGCCTGCGGCACGTTCACAGCCTGTGTGTGCACCTGAGAGCCCTGGGATGTCCTTCTAGGGTGTCAAATTTATTCAAGGTCACTCTTTTTCCTCGAAGGCATTTTATACCATTGCTCAGAATGCAAAATTTACGTGCATTTTCATTTCAGTAGCTAATAATTGATGACACTTCCCAGGAAATTACTGTGTGGTGAGTGCTGTGTTAATCTCTTTATATGATCCTCATAATTACCCAATCAGATGTCTTATTCTTCCCATTTTGTGGATTAAAAAACTGGGGCACAGAGAGATGAAACACCCCCCCCCTAAGTCACACGTTATTAAGCAATAATAAAACAAACAATCCTCCCCCTATCACCTCCCTCCAAATCTGGATCCATTGCAAGGTGCTTTAGAATTTACCCCCTCAAACCCCTGCGGCTTCTTTGGTGAAGCCTGAACAGCGCAGGCCGAAATGACTTCCAAAGTCCTGCTCCGACCGACACTCCTGGATCAATTTTAGCTAAATCGGTGGATGAAAGGCTTCAGCGCACCGGGTGCCACTGGAGTATGGGAGAGGCTGGAGAGGCCTCGGGGGTTCTGAGGGTTCCCTAGGTGGGGTTTCTCAGCCCGTGGGGCGCTCCCAAACCTGCCAGTGGACGTGAAATCCCTTTCTAGACGACCATCTTCCGGCCCAGCGGGACGTTCCAGCCGCGGCGTGTTCCCAGCCCGGCACTTCCTCGTTCCCGCGCGCCCGGGCTCGGCTGCTACGCCCAGCGCCGGCGCTCCTCGGTCGGGAGGGGGTCAGAGGGGAGGTGTCGCAACCGCCTCCCTCCCTCTTCCCAGCTTGGCGCGCAGTCACCTCCCAGATGAGCGCGCTCGCAGACAGCTGCGGGCCGCCGGCCGCCGGGCATGTCCCTTGATTGCGCGCTGGCGGCGGGCACTGGGCCCCCGCGCATCCTGGAGCCGGACAACCGAACACGCTTCTCCTTCTTCTCCGAAGTCAAGGGCGACCACCGGCTGGTGCTGAGCGCCGTGGAGACCGTCGTGCTGGCGCTCATCTTTGCGGTGTCGCTGCTGGGCAACGTGGGCGCCTTGGTGCTGGTGGCGCGCCGACGGCGCCGCGGCACCACCGCCTGCCTGGTGCTCAACCTCTTCTGCGCCGACCTTCTCTTCACCAGCGCCATCCCGCTCGTGCTGGCCGTGCGCTGGACGGAGGCCTGGATGCTGGGCCCGGTCGCCTGCCATCTGCTCCTCTACGTGATGACCCTGAGCGGCAGCGTCACCATCCTCACGCTGGCGGCCGTCAGCCTGGAGCGCGTGGTGTGCATCGTGCGCCTGCAGCGCGGGGTGCGGGGCCCCGGCCCGAGGGCCCGGGCGGCGCGGGATGCAGGTGAACAGCAGCGAGAAGAGGCCATTGGCTGCGCTGAAGCACTGTGTCCGACACCGTGCCCGGCGCCATGGAGTTTAGCCCTTAAATTTCACTGCAACCGCGCGTTGGGGGTCCCGTAAACGCCCACCAAATGCTGCAAGTGGGGTCCCCCAAATACCCGTAACATGCACCCACTCTTCATTGCAAAATTAATGAAATAACGGGGGCTTAACGGCCAGCAGGCGGAACGTGGGGGATTCGGAGTGGTTAATCGCATCCTGCTAAGTTCTGCTCGCTCGCCGGGAGCGACAGTACTCATCACACCTCCTCCACGGACGAGCTTGCTGGGGCGCCTGCCCTCAGCGCGAGGAGGAGCTGGGTCGCGCTCAGCAGGTTCCGTGCGAGCCGGGCACGGGCCCTGCTTGGAGGTGGGCAGGTGCGTGTGGATGGGCCGGGGAGGAAGGGACTTAGAGACCTAGAGACCCCAGAACCAATACTGCCTCTAGGGGGCGGTTGTGGTTTCTCCTCCCGGAGCCCCAGTTTTTCCCACTGCAAGACGGAAGGATGAGACTAGCCCGCGGGAGCCTACCCTGGGCACCCCGGGTGATGGGAGGTTTCAGATGATCGTGGGCGCCCGGAATGTCCCGCAGGTCCCAGAGGCTGGGCCCATGAGCTTTATTGGGGCACCACGACCCCCAGTTGTCATGGGGATCGTGGGGGTGGGGTGGGTCCACTATCTAGAAACAGTTCTGCGATTGCTCATGACACTGGTTCTGTCCGCTCCAGCCAGCACACCAGAATCGCGGGCGCGGGTCTGTTTGCGTCGCTAGCCTGCTGGGCCCCGCGGGGTATGCGAGCCGCGATTCACTCTGGGACCCCGGACTTGAGCGCGGGCTGGGGAGGACAGTGGCCCGCGGTTCCGGCTGCCTGCCGTCCCCTGTGTGTGAGCCTTCCTGCGCCTTGCGAGGGCGGACAGGGGAAGGACTCAGGTCTGTGCACCTTACCAAAAGGCGGCTCAGCCTGCCCAGGCTGCTGCGGCTGGGTTCTTCCCCCACCTTCCTCCTCCAGAGGTCGCTCCCCACGAAAGCTCGGCCCTGGCCCGAGGAGGGAGGGTGGGCAACCCGGAGCCAGCCTGACACAAACACAGCCCCAAAGAGAGGCGTGCAGTGGCCAGAGGGTGGGGTGGGAAGGCAGGGCGGCTGGGTTGGGGAGGGGAGGGTGTGTGAGGAGAAGGCTTTGAGCCTTGGACCAATGCCTCTGCTCCTCTACTCCCTGGGTGTCTCTTCCTGAGCCTGAACCCAGAGGTGGGCTTCTCTGGGGGTTCCCCTGACCTGTCACCCAGGCCTTTTGCTGGGGTTGGGGAGAAGTCTGCATCCTGTGTAAGCAGTGTCTTTTTAACACAACCCTAAAAGTCCCTTTCCTAACAGCTGCTGTCTTGCGTGGAATACATTGTGGGGTTTTGCTTGTTTGGTTTGTTTTGTGACCAACAGGCAGGAGCTGTCTCAGGCCTGTGGCACTTGATGGAAGAATATGTGAACCCGTGGCATGTCTCTTTAAGTGGGGCGGGGAAAGCTGGGATTAGCTGAGCTGGTGGGTGCCACTGGACTGGGGAGACCAAGGGCCCTAGCTTCATGGGCAGCTGGTCCTCCTCTGCCCAGATACACTACGAATCCAGGTGGCCACACAGATTCTCCCAAGTAAGTGGAAGACCAGGCCTCACCCCAGGCCAATTGGATCAGCTTGGAGCTGGGGTTCCACCATCAGTCTTTTGATTTTTTTTTTTTTTAAGTAATTCCGTCACTGAGTTAGTGCTTCTGTGTTTTTAACAGAACTTGAGGGATTTCTCCCCCCCCCCCTTTTTTTTACAGAAATAAATGGCAAATCAGGGAATTAAGGATAGAGCTTAAGGGGAACTTATGTTTCTAGATGTGTATCTGTGCCTCTCTCTTTGCAATTGTTTTAGGTACATGCCTACTTAACTGTCAAATAACAAAAAAATGAGGCCCTTGTCGCCTCTAGGCCAAAAGCCCAGACTACAACTGCTTGCCGACAGGGACACAGTTGTCTTCTGTGTCTTTCCACTCTGTATTTTACCCTGGGGTGGGGGGGGGGGCACCTGGATGTGGTCAAAGTCCTCTGCATTCCGCTTCCAGAATGACTAGAATTCTGTGCAAGGCGCTCCCATGGAGATCTGTGTGGTGGAGGCCTTCCCTCTGTTCCCCTTGGGCAGGGCACACAGACCCCTCTGATTTTAATTCGAAAACACCTCCTTGGTCTTCAGAGCCTTAGGAGAGGGATTTGGGCAAAGCCACAGGGAGAGAGTGGGTTCTCACAGCACCGCAGGAGATTGGAGGACAGGTGAGTTCGCTACAGGAGCCCTGTTCCCGGAAATTAGTAGAGGTGGGGGGCGGGAGCATGTAATGAGAATTCCACAGTCCTTTCCAGCTCTCCATCTTCTGTCTTTTCCCCTTTGTGTTATGCCTCCCTCCCCCAACCCCTTGCCCCCACCCTTGCACCTGCCAGTAAGCCAACAAACAGAAAAAGCCCTCGTTCCTCCAAGGCTGTGCCCTGAGCGTGCCGGAAACATCTCTTTTTATAGGTGAGCAAACAGGCCGTGGTTTAAGAAGTAAGTTAAAAAGAGTGAGAAATGGGGGGACAAAAGGGAGTGTGGCCATTAAAAAAAGAGAGACAGAGAAGGATCTGGTCTAGACTGAACTAAGTCTCACATTAAAATCAGCACAGGCTTGTTTTCTCAGTCCCCTACCGCCCATTCCTGGCTGTAGGTTTGGCCTGCCACCTCCCCCTTGGACATGAAATATGGAGGTTGTGGATGGAGAACATTTCCTACCCAAACCACAGGCACAGAGAATGAACTAACTGACCCTGAGCACAAGCTGGCGCTCTGCCCGCAAGGAGCCCTGGCCAGGGGGCTTTCTGCTTACCTGGACCCCCAACCCCCAGCCCCACCAAATCAGAAACGTGATTCCCTTTGTCCATCTGGGCAGTGGGTGCCCAGCAGTCCAGGGTAACCCAGCCGTTCAGGGTGACTTCCCTGAAGGGAGCATGAAATAATGGACATTTCAGAAAATGCTGCATAATTTGGTATGACGAATGTGGGCTTTGGAGTCAGATGTTGTGAATTTGAATCCTATCTCTGCCATATAGGAGATGTGTGACAGGGGCAAGCGAGTGGTCCTGACCTCTATACCTCGCCTTCCTCATTTGCAAAATGGGCCTGATAACAGATTCTCACTTTCTAGGATTGTCATGGGAACTGATATTCAGTAAGTGGGCCAACATCTGGCACAGACACGGTTAAGCACTCAAAAATTACCAGCTATTCTTAGTTTCCTTATCTGTGGTTAGAAATATTTTAAACAGTCTCTAAACAGCGTAATTCTTCTGATTGCTGTAAAATAATAGACTGCCATTTTAAGAGGGTGGACACATCCTAGTAACTTAGACATCTCAGCCAGGTCAGCTCAGCCTGTACCAACGGCATTTCTGCCCGTGTGTGCCGTGGCCCCGGTGGGGTGATGACCCTCACCGGCAGCTGGGGAGGACTGTCCACCCTGGCCAGAATGTGCGGCCCATTTATTCTACAAACATTTGCTGAGCACCCCTCCCCCTGCCCTCACCCTGGGTTTCATGCCCAAGACCCTTTCAGCCTCTTCAAGGAAGTGCATGTTTTGAGCATGCAGATGGTCCCAGGCCCTGGCAGAATTCAGTCCCATGAGTAGGTGTTCTTGTGTTTATTTCCTGGAGGAAGAAATGCCTAAAGTCATAAAGCAGGTAAGAGATGGAACTGGAATTTAGCCAGGGTCAATCTGTTCCTCCTGGTGTCATTTCATGAGTTCATACTTCCTTAGCAGCCTTGGTGCCACTGCCCACCCTGACCGGATTTAGTACGAGGCCAATAATGCCATCGTGTCTCTATTGAGTGTGGGTTTGGCTCAGGAAGCAGTTTGCTTGCCTTTGTTAACATTAGAGGATGCTTTTAAGATAAAAGACAGTAAGTCTACCGTTTGCATTGGTATTTTCTGACTTTTCTGTTGGGAAGCTGATAGGAGAGGAGTTGTGCAAGTAGGATTTGGAGTTCCTTAAAATGACCTTGAAGTCTTACATTTTTTGTTTGAAGAGGTGGGACAGGAAGGATGGTTTATGAAGTGATCCCCAGGGTGTTCCAGAAGAGTCTTTAGAGCCCTAGCCAAGTAGCTAAGTTGGTTGAAGCATTGTCCTATATGCCATGGTTGCAGGTTCAATCTCCAGTCAGGGCACATACAGAAATCAACCAATGAATGCATAGATAAGTGGAACAACAAATTGATCTCTCTCTCTCTTTCTCTCTCTCTCTCTCTCTCAAAATCAATTTTAAAATATTTTAAAAAACTATCAGAAGAATCATTAGAGAAGCTGATAGGAAACAGCTGGAATCAGGTGGCATTTGCCTGTAGGTCAACCAGTGTGGGGAGAAGGCAGCATTTGAGCAGGGCCTATGGAAAGATGTCCCTATCCACAGGGGCAAGAATGATACCCAGCGGAGTGTGAAGATGAGAGGCCGGTAGCCAGACAAGGATGTGGGGGACTGAAGGAACATTGCCGGCACAGGAAATAGCCCACAGTCAGCAAGAGATTGTGCCAGGAGGGTTGGCAGGGGCCAGCTGGAGAAGGGCCAGGTACACCCCTTCAGGAGAGATGGCCTGGTCTGGGAGGGGTGGCCAGTTAGAATGAGATCTGTGGGTGGGTCGGATAGCTGCGAGGTGGAACTCCGAGGTTCCCTCTGAGCGGGGAGGCAGAAGGCAGAAGGCTAGTACTCAGGTTCCTGGCAGCTTGGGGAATGGCAGCTCCAGGCGGAGTCAGTGACTCCAGGAGGTGGAAGCTTTTGGAAGTGGGAGGTGGGAGGCTTGACGTGCCTGTGAGGCATCCGCAGAGATGTCCTTGGGGGAGTGGGATGAGTCTGGGGTTCAGAAGAAGACTGGCTGAAAGGACTAGATTTCAGCATCATCTGCAAAAAGAAGCCATGGAAATGCATGAGTGTGTTAGGGAGGGGCGGAGCTTGGGCTGGGGAGGATGCAAGTCACATTTAATCACATGTGCCTGGTCTCCCGCCTTCATCCCTTCTGGCCCTGACACAGCTCCAGCTTCTCCGTTCTCCGGAAACCCCATCCTTTCAGACACAGCTGACACAAACGTCCAGGATGCAGCTTTGCCAGGTGACTCCACTCTCCTGTCACCTGTAGATTGCGGGGCGCTTCCAGCTCAATGCCCTGCATTGAAGTTTCCTAGGGCCTCTCCCTCCCTGACTGCAGAGACCAAGCCCACGCTCACTGTGGCCTCACCGTGGCTCAGCCACCATGGCTTGGGTCAATAAGTGGTTGAACAAACAAATTAAAAGACACTTGTTGACTCAGCCAGCTTTACTTCTGTAGCTCAGTAACAAAGCAGGCCTAGCACTTTGGGTTTTCAAATTTCCTTTTTAAAATCAGGAAACATTTCAAACACGCAGAGAATATTATAACACTCCTGCCCCCACCTTCGAGATTTGACTCGCTGCCAAACTCCTGTGAGTCACAGCCTGGGAGAGAATACCTAGAATCAAAACGATTTACGTCAAATAGACTTTCCCATAGAAACACAATTATAACATCGAGTTAGAGCTGTGACTGTAGACCTGGTGCTTGCTGATTTTTTTTTTTAATTTTTAAAATGAAATTAAACACTGCATTTAACCAAGGATGCCCTGGGGTGAGGTTCTTGTTTTCCCAGTTTTGCTAATTGTTAGGCACGTGGGGCTTTCTGCCCTGGTGACTTTCTGTGCCTGGCCCATTGTCCTTGTTTTGCCCATGTCTGACTGTCTACCACAGCTGGTCTTAGCTCTTTAGGGGAAATATATGATTCACCAGGACTACATCATTAGTGTTGTATTATTTGAGGAGTATGTTTCTAAGCCTTAGTTTCCTCCTCTGTGTAATTCGAAAAATAGTAATAATACATCTCCGTAAGGTTGTTGTGAACACCCAATGAGATAATGTATGTAAGGTGTTACCTGGTGCGGACTAAGTGCTTTGTTGATACTGGCTAGGAGAAGAAGGGACTATTTGACAGTATATGGGTTTGACCACCTAATTATGATACATGTTGAGAAATGATTAAAACTTTGCCTTTGCCTAGTATAGCATTTAGTAAATATTGAATGAATGAATGAATGAATGGTGCTATGGATGATACTATTTCTTCTGGACAGTGGTTAAGATGCCTTGTTCACCAGAAATATATAATACGGTCCTTTTACACAAATATATTCTTCAAAACCTATGTCACGTGTTTGGAAGAGCAACTTGTTTCCTGAACAGTTTTGTTCCTATAGTGAAGCGGCACAGGATACTTGTGTTTGGGAGGAGGGATGGATAGATGATAGACAGATAGATAGATGATAGATAGAACTCTTCATTGGCCTACTTATTCATCAGAGGACACTGTTGCAGCATCTCTTAACTATTCAGTAATGTCCCCGCTGTTTGGGGGTCTGTATTAATGCCAAATATTTGAATTCAATACAACACAGTGGCAGCAGCACGGTCACACCTGCAGGTTCTTTGGCCACCTTCCAGTGGTCGCCACTTGAACTGATGGAGACTTGTGCTTGCATCTTGCTCTGGGGCTGCCGTGTGTTCCTCTGGGAGAGGCCCCCCTCCCCCCCCCCCCCCCCCCCCCGCGGGACAGAACTCCCGAGTCTGGGCACCAGCATTGCCCTGGCGTCAGCCATGCCCTTCTCTGATGCAGATGACACTTGTAGACGTTTGCACAGCCTTTAAACGAACCCTATGCCTTAAGGTGGACCCTGTTGCCTTGAGCACTGGGCTTGGAGTCATGCCTGGGAACTAACTCTGGCTCTGACCAGCGTGTGACCCTGAGGCCCGGTCGGTTCCCCTGGAGAACGGGAATAATAATTATAGTTATTATAAGGTCAGAAGCAAATGATTTGTAAGTGGGGCTGTGTGGGCCGTGGAAGGGATTCTGGGATTTCTTGTCAGTTGTGTGGCAGTGTAACTAACACAACAGTGTTATAGTGCCAGGTAAACCCCCAGCTGGAATGAGCTTAAGGCAAATAAGAAGCCAGCATTTAAATGACCTTCTCTTCCTTCTTGCGACTAGGAAATTCTGATTTGCACACTGGTGTGGCCCAGCATTGCCGGAGAAATCTCCTGGGATGTGTCCTTCGTCACCCTGAACTTCTTGGTGCCAGGGCTGCTCATTGTGATCAGCTACTCCAAAATTTTACAGGTACGTGTGCTTCCGGCCCGCAGCTGCCCTGCACTCAGGTGGCATCTTAGCATTTCTGGGTTAGACGTTCCCTTAGGGTTCACGCCAGCCCAATTCTGGCTCACTGCCGAGATCTACGCCTCCTGCAAAAAGAAAAGTTATACCTTTATGATGGTTATTATTTGTCACTAGTCACTAAATACAAGTTTATTACAAAAAATTAAAGAAATATGGAAATGGGTAACATACAAACTAAAAATCTATGCTACCCTGGTTGTAAATTCATTGTATGTTTTTCCAAGTTATTTACATATAGACATAGTTTTATTCTATGTATGTGATAAACCATATAAAATGATCAAATATCAACTATTTTTCAGATTTGAGATACTACTGTCTGTTTAACTTTCTTTTTTCGATTAACACTCTATCATAACATTTTCCCGTATCAGATCCCTTATCTCTGCCCATTATTTTTAATGGCTTGATGATCTTCTGTCATACAGATGTGACATAATTTATTTTATGGGCTTTAGGACTGTGTCCTTGTTTCCCTACCACACACAGCAACGTAGTGAGAGAACACATGCTTTTAAAATGTTTTATTGACGCATAATCTACAGACAGAAAAGCACACCCAGCATACACTCCCAGCTTGCAAACTGACCCCCCTCCCGGAGCAGCTTCCAGAAACAGCACGACAGACAGCGACCTCCCCAGCCCCCACCACGCTCCTTCCACCCGCTGCCCTAGCCCCCAGCCCCGGAAATGTGCCTTTCCAAAGCCAGACACAGGCCATGGCCTCTGCCTTCGGAGCAAGCAGGTAGGGGTGTCAAAAGACCTGCCAGCCTGTTTACATGTATGTGCTGGCCCAGGCCGATCGTGTGTGTGTGTGTTCGTGCCTGTTTGAGAAGGTTTACTGCAAAGCCTTTGAGTCATCTCAGAGGTTTACAGTTGTCAGATCTTGGTTTTACAGCGTATTATGAGTCAACTGGCACACAGGGATACTGAAGTGGGGCCCTGTAGGTCCTGCTTGCTGTCTGGCCACTTGTATGGCTCTTTCTTTGTAGCTGAGATCTGTCACCGTTTAGATGCTCAAAACCCAAAGCCAGCCGCACCTCCATCCGAGTCTGCTAATCCTGGGTCCCGTGGTATCCCCTGGACTCTCCCCCATCAGTGGACTTCTGACCCTCCTTCAAGTGACCCCTTCTGGGGCTTTTCAAGGGCATGAGGTCAGTTCAGGCCTAGAGTTAAGGTCTGTATGGTGCCTGCAATAGCGCCTAGCATGTGTAAGTGCTATGTGGTACGTGTTTGCTGTTACTGTTATGTTAAAAGAAGTGAGGGGATAAGGAAAAGAAATGTAAAATGTATAGAGATGTAGAAATAATTTTAAATTATTTTAAAAAATTATTTAACAAATATCTATGTAGTGTTTATAGTCTGTTAGGAACTAACTCATTCAATACTGCTAAGAATGACAGATGAGGAAACCAAGGTACAGAGAGGTTAAGTAACTTGTCCGAGGTCACACAGCTCATAAGCAGCAGTATCAGAATGCAAGGTCGCCTGGCTCCAGAGTTCCTTAGAAGCCAAGAGGACTCTGGTCTTCTCCTTTCACTCATGTCTCCTACTTCTCAGCTGCCAAGAGGGAGTACTGACTTATTCTAAGAAAAGGTTTCTTACTCACCCCTTGATTCCTCCATTGTTTTCACAGGCAAGGGCCCACCTGGAACATTCTAGGAGACCCCAGGAGCCCTGATGAGTTGGGGGATGTGTAAAGAAAGTGAGGGGATCTAATTATATCTTCGCCCCATCACTCAGGGCACCATTTCACAACTGTGAGTCGTGATAGATATTCTGTTTCATCCAGGAGCTGTCCTGGGGTCTGTGATAGGAAGGACTGAAGGCTGGCCTTGGGTTTATATGCAGAGTCCCTGAAGACTGATGGATTGGATAGGAGACGCCTCCTTAAGGTTCTTTGTGATCTGGCCCCTGCCTGCCCCTCTCACCTCATCTTCTCCCCTCTGTTGTGTCCATGTTGGCTTTGGGGCTATTCTTCCCATGTGCCAGCACATTGCTGCCTCAGAGCCGTTGCATCTGCCACCTTCTCTCCTAGATCTCTCATCCCCAAATTCCTGCGTGGGCCATTCCTCCCCTTTAGTTAGGTCTCCATTCAAAAGGCTGTCCCCCACAGAGACTCCCCATCGTTCTCCAATTCTCTTTATTTACTTCTTCTCAAAGCACTTACAACCCCGTCATATTCCCTTTATATCTATCTATTTGTATGTCATCTGTCTTTCCCATTGGAATGCGAGCTCCATGAGGGCAGCCTTTGTTTGGTGTTATAGCCCCATGCTTAGAACAGGGCCCTGGCTCATCTGTTTTAGTGCTCGATAAACACTCACTGAGTGAGTAAGGCACTGGCAGGGCCAACAGGACCTCTCCTCGTGGGCAGTGGGAAAATCACTGGTTGAAGAGTCTGAAGAGCCAGGTGCTAGTCCAAGCCTTATTTCTGTGAGGCCTCAGGCAAGTCACTCCATTTTCTCTGGAGCTAAATGGGCCCCAGTGGATTGTTTAGCACAACAAAATGAGAGCAGATAATGATAATGTTTTGAAAATCACCATGTTAATGCAAATATAAGACTTTTAAAAAATTACTTCTCGCTTACTAGCAAAACTGTTGCCCATTTTCCGGGAGGACTATAACATGTGTCCTTACTTTGCACCTGTCGGTTTGCCAGGCTGGTAACTTGGAAGCAGGTGAGTTGCCGCCAGGTGGATGGAGGGTCTGGGCAGGATACCTCTGAAGACATCCATACGCAGAGACACCGAACCAGCTCTTCTGCTGAGTTTTTCTGTCAAGAGTATAACTCTGTAAAAGCAATTGAATGTCAGTGTTAATTAGCCACCTTCATAGAAACACAATTAGCAAATCGTGTGAAGCCACGGGACACAAAGCTACACCACGTACCCCTTTCTCGCCAGCCCTACCTTTCACCTGTCACTACTGACTGTAACTCCGGTTCCATCTCTAGGCCTGAGAAGTGCCCCTTACAGATCACCCCGATCTTTTATTCCTCTAAAGCAGGGTTCCCCCTAATGCACTCTCTAGAACTCCATGGGATGTTAGATATTGGGAAGGGTTCCATGATCAAACGAGTTTGGGAAATGCTAAGCTAATCAAAGTTACGTGGATTTCTTGGCTGCAGGACTTCTCAGAGCCTTTACTAGGTGAATGTACTTTGGGAACCACCAGCACAGGTCAGAGTAGGCAGCATGGCTGAACCTGACAGCAGGACTCTATTCCTCACAGAGCATCTCTCTGGGCTGGCGCTCCACGCATCTCCTTTGGGAAACTGCTCTGAAAAAACCCCACACG